GAGAGAGAGGAGGAGCCAAGCCGTGAGTGGTTCAAGGCCCGAGCCCCAGATATCAGAAAGCAGAGAGGGCCTGCAACCAAAAGCCGGAGGGGAGCGAACGTGCCTGCCTTCAGCCATTCGAGCAGCAGGGCACGAACACAGCTCTTTGCGTGATCGCCTTCCTCGTTCTGCGGGGGGACATAGTCGGGCACGGAGCCCGAGGGTGTCTGTGCGCTGTACCTTCTGCCGAAGACCAAACCTCGGCGTCTACAAAATCGGCGAGCCTACAGGCCTACAGGCGCCTTACCTGACCGCGCCGATCAGCCGCAAGACCGCCGTGGGAGATATGCTACCCGGGGTACCAGTTCGTGATACTACTTGCAGAGGGGCGACGTAGCCAAGCACACGGGGGAGACCGACATGGCAACCGGAGCAGGCTTAGAGATGCAAGTCGACCATCAGGGGTCCTCCCCGACAAAGAGGCGTGCACCCGACAAACACGAGGACCTAGCGCTGAACATCGACATCATTCGTGAAGCCATCAGGGGGGAACTGAAGGATGCCCTCTCCGATGTAAAACAGGACATACGAGCCTTCGCGACACGGGTCGGCAACGTGGAGAACCAGGTGACCAAGAAGATGCAACAGACCATCAACTTGCTGGATGACATGACCAACAAATACACAGCCCGTGGGGATATGCTACAGCAGCTCCAAGAAGCAAACAAAGAGGTGAACCTTCGCCTAGAACGTCTTGAAAAAGGGAGGGGAGCCTCTTCCGTGGCGGGGAGCACAGCAGCTTCGGATAACTCCCGACGACCCGCGCTGATAGTGGGGGGATGGGATCCAGATCAAGACGCTGCAACAACCAAAGAAGCGGTGGCAGACGTCCATCGCCTTGGACTCCCTTTTCGTTCCCGGGGTCCGCCGTGGTTATGCCATCCTTCCGATCGACGAGCGCCTGGGGGAGCACTTTGAGCAGCGCAAGCAACCATCGCAAAGGTCAGGGACGCAAACATCCAGCTGGGGCGTCGTCCTGACGGGGGAGCCAGGAGGGTCTGGATCGCCATGTCACAGCCACCCGACCGACGCCGCCGAGCCCGCCTTGCCGCCAAAGTGAAGCGCCTGTACCTCACCTTGGGGGGGAACAAGGACGCGCTCCAGATGGAATTCAGCACTGGCACAGCGTGGATCGAATGCGTGAAGGTCAGCTCAGCCACTGCCCCAAAACCCGGGGGAGCAGAGGACGCCGGACCGGGATGGGTCAACCTTGCCGAGATAGCCAAGGCCATCAGGATCACTCAGGATGCAGTTGTCACGGCATGTTCTCCGCTTAAGGCGGAGATCAACTGAACCATGGACGAGCAAGAGACGTTTCACCCACAGGCCGAGGGGGGACAAAGACCCGGGCAATTCTGGGCAATGACGTGGAATGTCGGGGGGCTCACAGCAGACAACCTGCTGAAGCTCTTGGACACCTTCGACGGCAGTCCGGACCTGAACTGTGTTGCAATCGTCCTCTTGCAGGAAATTATCTGCGAGCCAGGCCTTTTTTATGCAGAGTCAGACACATGGCAAGTAGTTTATGGCAAATGCAACGGGGAGTTCCGAGGAGAAGGAGTGGCACACAAAGTCAAACACCACACACACCACCACAGCCAAGTTACCGCCGGGGGTGACCACCACACTGAAAGCCATCACAAGCAGAGGGATGACCAGAGTGCTAGCGGGACACATCCCACACCACGCCACAATCCAGCAAACAGAGAGCATACTAGCCGAGTGGGAGGAAAGCTTGGGTGACCAGCGCCGTTGCCTCCTAGGCTTCGATGCCAACGAGACCTTCACCCCCCCTCTCACCAACGTGCCGGGCTGCTACGCAACCACAGGCCGGGGGGAAGTCATACTCGAATGGGCCAGCTCACACAGCATCACCTTTCCACCGCAAGAGCTCCACGTTCCAAGCTACCACCCCTACAACCACAACATGCAATCACGACGACTGGACTACATCCTTGTCAGGGGGATTACAGCGGGGGCTGGAAAGGTCGTCCCCTGCCGCGACAGAGCCTCCTCCGATCATGATGGGGTGGCCGCACCGATAGGCGCACACAAAGGGGGAGCCCGGGAGGGTCTTTAGTCGCGGAAGAGTCTCGCCCCCAGCGCGCGCGCGGCCTTGGCCAGAGCAGGCCGGAAGGTCTTTAGTCGCGGAAGAGTCTCGCCCCCAGGGCGCAGGCCGGGAGGGTCTTTAGTCGTGGAAGAGTCTCGCCCCCAGGGCGCGCGCGGCCTTGGCCAGAGCAGCCCGGGAGGCTGAGGAGGAGTTCTACAAGCGCGAGAGTAGGCGTAGACTGCTGAGCCCAGAGGGGAGCTGTCGTAGAGTGCCCCCCCACTTCCGCTAAGATGCAGTGACTGATGCTGTCCCAACGCCTGCAGGTGAGAAAGGTACTCAGTGTACAGGGGGGGCCACCCCCAACCAAGGGGGGACCAGTGTGACGTTGAATGAGTTGAATGTGTTGAGCATGCTGTTGGACAATGATTGTCTCGCCCTGGTCGGGGCCTCAGTGTTTCACGTGCTTGCAGTTGTGCTTTCCTCTTTGATTACGACAGTGCCTGTAAAGACCGCACGCAGTCCGAACCAACTTCACAAAGGGGCACTCACAGGGCACCCGGGGGCCAGCCAAGATGTGTTTGCTGTACTTCCACTTGCAAAACTTCACAGACCTGGCCGTTGGGGGTATTGATACTTAGCCGTCGAGGCGGGTTGGGGTTTAGAGTTCCGTTGTTGTGGTGAAAAGGCCTGTGATTGAGAGCTTCTGACCAACTGCGTCAGTCGAACCACTAATTCCCCAGTGCGCGAACTCGCGCGAGGGGGCCGGCATGCACGGACCCCTCTGGCTGTGTCGAAGAAGAAGAGACGAGAGAGAGAGAGAGGGTTCTTCTTCACTCCGACGGGGGACATGCCTTTCGTTCAGGTAGCATAGAGTACACAGCACAGACCTGCTCGGAGTGCACAGCCAAGTTGAAAAGGGAGGGGAGTTTCTTGATTTAGCATGTATCCTGTTTTTCGGCCTGGCCCTCGGAGTGTGTGCATACGTTGTTGTCCCGTGTTAAACCAAAGTGCACTTTATGAGCAGAAGGGGAAGCGAACCGATGGCTGTGAAAATAGCTTCAGCCTATCGGGGGAACTTCCCGGCTTTGTGCAGCCAAGCCCTCGGGGTGAAACCCCGCAAGGGACAACGAAACCACCCGCGAAATGGCGGGTGTGCGAACGCGCGCGGAGGGAAGGGCCTGAACGCTGCCCTAACCTCCACGCCCAGTAGAGAGAGAGAGAGAGAGAGAGACAGAGAGAGTGCGCGCGCGTGCGAGGGGGGCTTAGGCTTCCCTTTGGCCGAGTGCAAGCAAGAGAGAGAGAGAGAGAAAGGACTTCTTGAGAGGTCATGGTGAAAGCGGTCGAGTGGCTGAGCCAACATGGCCCCACCGCCTTGGCGCGCGAGCGTCGCATTCTTGGGCTCTGGGGAACAGACTGACCCCTGCGATACTAACACTGCGCGAGCCTGTCGAGGCGAGAGCAGCCATGTCAACAAAGCCCCGGCCAAGAAGCAGGCCGCGTGCGGACCGCGGACCCTTCGTGCTTTGTAGTTTGGCTTCGAAACAACCAGCTATAAGTGCATGGACGTGTGCAGCAATGCGCACTTAAGCACTGGCGAATACAGTAACTCTGGCATCAGGGCTCGGCCTCCTGCAGCATCTTGAATCTTCCATGGCCTAGGATTGTCAGTTCCCTGCATCTGGCACCAATCCGTCGTCCGAGCAGCATTGGAGGATCCCTTCATGAAAACTGTCAAGGCTCCTGCGGTGGTTCAGCCAGCTGTGGAGAGCAAAGCAGATCGAATAGAACAGGCCAGGAAGCGCATGACAAAATGACTCGGTGGACAAAGCAGATCCGAGCCGCAAGTTGAACAGGCTCGTCGAGAACGCCTCAGTGAGCGACCCAGCCCCACAGCCGGCACCTCCCGTAGCAAGGATCGAGCTTCCCTCGGCACACGGCCGAGGTGCCAAGTTCACCGATAAATGGGATTTGTGCTACGCTTTCATCAAGCATGGCTCCTGCAAAGACAAGAATTGTCAATGGAGGCGTCTTACTTCGAGGCTAGGAGGGGCCTATCATGCATCATGCATTTGTCCTGGCAGGCATGAGCTACCGCCCAAGAAGGAGGAAGCAAAAGAAGTAAAAGAGACAAAGGTCGAGACCAAAGCAAAGCCCGTGCCCCCAGTCAAGAGAGAACGAACCAATGGAAGCGAGAGAGAGGGGGTGAGAGACTGGCTGGAAGGAAGGAGGAGGGATTTTCAAAAGTGAGAACAGAGCAAGTTTCACGACGCATGTAGCTTCCTGCTGAGGCAAGGAGCAGGACGCGGACCCGGAAGTAGCCGTTCATCCGTCAGTGCCACGATCACTGAAATGTCAAGGCAAGAAGAAGTCCAAAGCCTGAGCAGGAAAGATCCCTCAAATCAGTTTCGCAAGCAATTTGCGGCTTGCGGCGGCAACGGGCAAGCTAAGCACTTCCAAACTCTAAGTCGATGAGAGCTTAATCCTAGGGCAGGAAACAGTTCAATGTTCAGCTGCAGAGTCCCTGTGAAACAGGGGCCGAAGCACGGTACAGAGATGTCGTTGACATTTAGAGTCCATCTGAAACATGACGCGCCCATGCAGCTCCGATGACATGCTGGCTGCTAGCACGCTGCATGCCACGGCTCTCCTGCATGATGGCAGGTACAAAGTTGTGATCGGGGCTTGAAATGCGAGCAATGTGTGGCCGCTCTGCTTTCAAGGGAGGAAGACACAAAGCCCAAAGATATTCATCCAAGACCAACTTGAAATCAATGATTTGTCTTGTAGAATCCGCAGCTCGGATAGATTGGGTTTTTGAAAGCAGGAAGTCCATCCATTGGCCATGACGGAGGTTGGGCAAAGCTGTGCAGCTTGTCTCCCATGAGGCTCTGACAGGAGGCCGGGCCTGGCTATGCCTGGCTTTGGCTACGGATATGGAGCGAGCCGTGAAACCAGCGACAGCGAGACAAGCAGCCGGGACTCCGAGAGCAGCGAGAGCTTGGCGTCTGAGGCCGGGCTTGTGCCATCGCTGGATCGCATGCGGTATGCAAAGCCTCGGGACCATTGCGATGTTCGTCTTGACTGCAGTTTCAGTTGGCACACTCCCGTTCAACTTAGCACAGCTCCAGTTTGTTTTGTTTCAGAAGCCCGCCCTGCCTTCGTGCACACTTGCTTCTGTCCATTACCCAAGACATCGCGGACCCGAATCAGAGTCGCCCTTGAGATCTGGGGTGATGCCCTCGGACTTGCTCATGGAGCGAATTCTGTTTGAGAGTTGCAAAGTGAGCAGAGATGATCTAGGATGCTACTGCAAACGAATCTCATCAGTTGCTCCGGCCTGTAGTGTGTGGCCGCTCGTCAAACGGTTCAGCGTTTGGAGGTGGAAGTGGGTCAGAGCATACCAAGAGTGCATCAGAAAGGCACCAAAGCCGGTCAAGGCGGTTGGCAACTGTTGTTGAGATGTATTCTACTGGACATCTGCATTGAAGCCCGCACTGTTGGTACAGGACCACAGCGGCCTGATGTACAAGGGGACACCCCTGAAGCTTTGCCAAAACGGCGGAGAGTCACATTCAAAGAGGAGGTTTTGATCTTGACAGACTCGACCCGTGAGTTCACGAAGCTCAACCTCAGACACGGCTCCACAAGAAAGCGCTTCAAGGTCAGCAGTGCTTCCGATGCTTCCTGTCGCCATGCTTTTCCCACGTCCAGTACTTTAGATTAAGCATGCAATGGAGGAGCCTCCGCCTGTCGCAAAACGAGCCAGCCGAGAACTTAAGCTGAATGCCCATAGTGCTCGACAGCTGTTCTTCATCATGAGGGGTGTCAATGGTGTCATATTAACATGGTGCAGGAGCCGATGATGGTGCCAGAACTGTGCCCTCGACGTTTTGCGAATAACGAAAATGAACAGCAGCGAGCACGACTCCTCGCCAGGCAATCAGATCTCCACCGCCCGAGCGACGTGTGCTGGAGTCGGACATCCGAAGCTGCCTTGCAGCACGCGGAAGTGTCCACAGACATGGAGCTGTGTGAACATGATTTCAGGCTTGGAAGTGCGCAGGCAGGTGAAGACAGAAGGCTCGCAGGAGGCCGAACAAGGGAAGATGCAGGCGAACCACAAGGGGAGGGAAGATGCCGACAGCTGGCGAATGTCAGTTTCCGCACTCGCACATGAAGCCATCGATGGTTTCCAGAGCGATCCCCAAGCCCCCCCATGACCACATGTTTGGATCGTTTGGGTGAGCCGCTTGCTCAAGTCTTGCAGGCTAGTTCGACGCAGCTTGAAGGATAATTACATGTTTTCCAGTTGCGGCTGTATGCGAAGATCTGCGAAGAAAACGCATGCGCCAGCTGGTGTCGTTCTGGTGTGCTCTGAACGGGTTACCGTAAGCCGTAAGGTTTGTTCCGCAAGGAGCTCAGGAGCGGAGTATGTGGGCGGGTGCCAAGCAGAGCAAGCAGAGCACGGGTGCTGGGACTGCTGGGAGTGATGATTTTTCCTGAGAGGTGAGGTGATTCTCGTATCATGATGCTAAACTCGAGAACCCTTATGTGTCGTGGAGAGGCATTGGGTGAAAGCTGTAGGTCCACTGTAGGTGGCAGAGCCTGACGGTCGCAAGAAGAACCGAAAGGAGAAGAGCCACAGCCCTGGTGGCTCAACGACACGGCCTTGAACTCAGCAGTGCAGCAATACCCGGTCGCATAGAGTGTAGGGAGCAAGTACATGTGCACTCCATCAAGGCAAGGAGACGAAGTCGGACGTGTGCAGGACGAAGCCGGAGTTGAGGCCTTTTGGGAGACCATCGTTGCTCCAATGCGAATGAGAGAGGAGCCAGACGCAGACAGAGATGTGTCGCCTTGGCTACATTCTTCGAGCTGCCACGGTGCTATTCTCAGAACCCCGACGTGCTGAGGCCGGATGTGCCCGCACAAGGCCAGAAGCAGGCGAGACAGCGAGCTGCAAGATGCTTCACAACACAGACGATACCCTTTGATCTTGCAAGGAGGTTAAGCAAAAAAGAAAAAAGCAGGACTCTGCAAGGTTGTGCTCACAGCGTTCCCTCACGTGAAGGTTGACACACGGAAAAAAGTGTAGCAGACATCGAGTGCTCAATTCTTTGGGCCTCCTCAGGCTGCCACTAGACAGAAAGATGCAGCACGACGCTTCAGAGCATGAGGCCGGGATTGTCCAGAGAAAACACCTAGTGAACATTCAAATCTACAGCAGACAAGAGACGGTGGACGACGGCACAGTTCATATCCAAAGAAAACGGTGCATGGCCCAAGCACGGATAGGACACCGCCAAGCACCGAAGCAAGGTCATCGGCAGTCCCGTTTCCTAGGGCAAGGTCCTGAGGACGAGCTTATATTCTAAAGCCAAAGCGCCCGGAATCCCACCACACTCTGACCTTGAGATCAGATGCACAGGCTGCACAAGCAATGCCAGCCGCAAAGGCTGGGCTTGCCGCAGTGGCACGGTCTTCGAAGGGCTTCTCTTGGAAACTGTAAAGGGCGGTACTCGCAGTGGGTACTTCTACAGCTACAGGATCCATCCAAGTTAACCCCTTTCACTGCATGCCCGCAATCTCAATTGGCCAGCTTGTGCAAGGGGGCGAAGTCAGCATGGTGGCCCGCGGGGCCGTATACCTCGAAGCCGTCTTTCTGCCAGGTAGCGCCGCCTGAAGACCCAAGTCGAGAAGGTCGAGAGCAAGAGAGGAGCTCACCAAGGTCCTGTCGGCCGTCCTTCCAGGAAGCACTCCAAGTTTGGAGAGGGGAGCGCCTGCGTGTGCGAGGCGAGCAGCAACTGAAATCGAAGAGAATCCAGAGGTGCCTTCCAAGAAGGTGGGCACCCGAAATCGGACGGTCAGTTTAGTGTAGTCCTGTAGGGCACGTTTTCCATGATGCCCTCTGCCTTCGTTCCAGGAGCCTTGGAACCTTGACAGGCGTGTTTACATAGCTTCTTATCATTTCTTATCCATCCATGCATCCATGTTTGTCTTCTAGGTCGGGGCCCATCGACTTCGAGGCTGGCGTCAGAGACTCGAGTTCAAAGAACTCATGTGCCAACTCATACCGGGCAAGTCCAAGTGTTGCTTGGAGCAGGAGCCCACATCCAGCCGCTCCAGCCATCTGACTGTCGACCCCGCGCCACGCGGCCCAAGCACCTGCCCCGCCCCCGGCCCCGCCGAGGCCGGCGCCAGTTCTTCACAGTTCTTCTTTGCAGACAGGAATACTGACTACTCGCAGGTGGTAGCCGTTGCCACCGCAAACTCTGCGCTGGAAGACGAATCAACTGCAAAGATGCAGGCATGGCAGAGTCGCATTTAGTGCTAAGGCATCCGGATCATGGCACCATGTTCACACGCACAGGGGAACGGCATTTCTATTGCATCGTACTGTAAGGATTTGCTTTCCTCATCGTTCCTCCGTTTTTGCTTGCGGAACCCATGTTTGCACATGGGTCGGGTCTTGGTGCGGTTCCAGTGATGCTTTGTGGTTTGGACCGGACCAGCCCTGCACGGACCTTGGCATTGGCGTGGTCAGGACATGTCAGGACAAAGCGACCACACTTTTGCTTGACTCGAGCGTGCCGCCTTCCGGCAGGAGCTGCAGCCAGAGGCATCGGAAACTTCTGATGCCAAAGCGGCCATAGACCAAGTGTGTTTGCTGGCGTCCAGCATAGACAGATGCCACGTTTGCAGGTGCTAGTTCAGCTGATGTGTATTTGGGCAGGCCACAAAAGACACCCCGATCCGTGGGATTCGACTGGCAAAAGAGTGGAGGCCATGTTTGGCTTTTCGCACCCCTATCTGTCGACTAAAGCTTCAAAGCGCTTTTCCTAGAGGCCACCACCTTCGCTGGTCTTGCCGAAGGAATGGGTCCAAGAAACGGACATGCCGGTACGGCGTCAAGTTGCTTGTCTGCCTCGCACGAGGCTGTGCAGCCATGGAATGCCGCTGAGTATCGGGGTACGGAGATGAGATCGAGAGCGAAGTCTCGTCAGACGCAGCTCCAAGTTGAGGCCCCGCAGGCAAGCTGCATTTGCTAAGCCAACCCGTTTAGTGGCGCCCTATGCTTCAAGATTCGAACCTTGTGAGCGTTGCCAAAAGAGCTGCTTCTTTTGCCGGCTGCCCCCGTCTGCCACTATTGCCCACTGTCCCACCCAACCCTAAACGGGCAGGCGACTCGAGCTCCTGCAGTTTCCTTTGTTCGGATGAATTTGGTGTATATTTGTGCCGATTTCTCTGGCACTGTCCCAGCTGCTGCAACAACTCTGCATGCCCAGTAGCCTTCCAGACGTGCACAGCGGGGTGATTTTGCCAAAAAGATCCAAAAAGACTTGCTCGAATTGGGTCCAGTTCGGTTGGGCAAATGAAATGGGTTTGGCTGTAGTTGTCCCCACCCCCTACAGGAAGTATTTCTGACATGTTCCTGTTCTGACCTTTGGCGCGTGTGCCTGCTGGGGTGCATGTGCGCAGGTCATCCGTGCACACCGCACCCACCGCCTGTTCGCACGAACCGTGCGCGCACCGACGCATAGGCATGCCAGCATACTGATGCGTTACTTAGTCATCGTAGGCTAGATGACCGTTAACTGTTAATTGTGCTTTGATTGCAATCTCGACGCAACCTCCTGTTGAATCCGTATCAGCGTCGTGTCGCATCTCCCGAATCAAGAGTCTCGAGACTTTACTTGCAGGGAACTCAGAATCTTTGTTGGCTCCTTCCTCTCGCATCGGTCAAAAATGTCGCCGACGGGTATTCAGCGTGTAGCGGCGTAGCGGTGTTTGGCGCTGCAGCTGGGCCCGACCCAAAAGCTCGGTGGGTTTCATGCTAAGCTGTCAGTGTTTGGCAGAGTGCTACGCTGCTGCGGTTGCATACTCTAGCAGATTGTTGCAGGTCGTACCGCAGCCCAAGACTTCCCAAGAGGCCAAACTTGCTGCCTGTCCCATCGCATCTTCATCGACGGCTGTTGCCAGCGGAAGGGGAGAGAACATCAGTGGAACACCGAGCTTGCAGGCAGCAAGAGGAGTTGCAGCACGTGGGATACGACTCGCAGAGGAGTGGAGGCCCTCTTTTTCATCAGGTACACGTGTCGTAAATGGCGCTGCTCTGGTGCAGCCAGGCCCCCACCACCGCTTGCTCTACCGGAGGAGTCGTTATGCACATTCTCGGTGGATTTCTCACTGTGAATTCGCGAAATCAGGACATTCAGCAGTGGAATCCTGCTGAGTACCGCGGCACAGAGTTGCGAGCCAGAGCCAAGTCTCGCCAGCATCTGCAGCTACAAGTTGAGGCAGCACGTGCATCATCACATCTCGCACTATCTTACCTTTCGCCATGTGGTGGTTATCAGGAAGCTGGCGACTACACCACCAAGCTGGTCCAATGCTTACACATTGTTTGTTTGCTTCCAGCGATTGTCCATGTGGTCATTGCTGGAGGCTGGGTTGCTCCGCGCCTTAGAAACTGACTTTGCTGAGCTGGCTGCCTACTGGCTGAGGGTAGACTTTCCAGAGTTCGCATATGTCCACTAGTTGCGCTGTGCCATGGAACACGCAGAAAAAGCCGCGAAGATGAGCACTTCACAGCAACTCAAAGGCCCGCGGCTCTCCTGAAACGATTCTGGATGCAGCTTGCGATGGGCGGCAATCTCATCAGCTGCACCGAAACGGAACTTGCTGCCACTTAGGGCATAGCATTAATAAACTGAAAACACAGCTGATGCCCAAGGTGAGAGAGAACGTTTCGTGCAGGAATTCCCCCAGTTTCTGCCTTGCGCCCAGACTCTCGAGCCGCACGTCACTAGCTGGGCAGATTCCGGGTATATCGCATGCTTCTTTTGATTCCCAATGTAAAGTGCGCATGTTCATGTTTCGACCTTGTGTGACCTTCTGGTATTCTTGGTCAGTCACAACCGGACGACGGGGTGCATTTGAGGCGCTATTTGCCCGACGCCATGCGTGCTTGGAGCTTGGCATACCCAGGTCAGCGTCCCAAAGAATGGTGTATGTGCCAGTGTGCCAGGCCACCAGTCGCCTCCCTTGAGCTGCGAGAGGGAGAAAAATCTGCACTGTCCGGGTTTGGATTCCCAAGCTGGCGAAGGCCAAGGCTAGCCCTCAGCCATTGCACACACCTTACGAAGTTAGGATTCACGTAGCAACAAGAGGTGGGCTGGATTTGCTGAATAGATACTGAAGAGTTTCTAACTGCCGGGGGCAGAGGTGCGATCCCCCATGTTAACGGCTATGGCTATGGTGCACCGTTGCAGTGGCCGGCTCGGATTTTTAGGAAATCGAACACTGCTTGCCAATGAAGTGAGCGGTACTGCCATGACATGTCACATCGTGCGTGACTCACACGGAACGCAAAGGTATGGACGCAACTCAAGCAAGCATGAAGTCTTACATGCTGACAGGACTCAACAGCATGGGGTACCTTCGAAGCTTCTGGCGATAGGTGCAGGTACTGTAGGTTGAATCCATGCGAACCCACTTTTTCGGGCGACTGGCATGCTGGATGTCGGCAGACGGTTTCGCACGTTGGTCGTTGAGTTGGCGCTGGCAGATGTGCGGGTTGGTTGTTACCTGGTGGTCGATCTCCGCTGCAGTGACTGTTGTTATGAAGCAGACAGTGGGGAAGGATGGCAGCTACCAGTTCCCCTTTGCATTGACAGCGATGACTAATGGAGTGTGTGGATGGATGTCGGTATTGGCGTGCCGCAGTAAGCGCACGAAGACTCCACGGAGGAACAGCTTGCTCCGGTGGCTCGATATCGTGAAGTTAGTTGGTCTAGGCGTGATCCAGGGAATTGAGATTGGAATGTCCAACAAATCTCTGGAGTACTTGTCGGTGTCCACTCGAACTATACTGAGCTCGTTGAGCGTGTTTTTCATGATGATGTCGGCACAGCTTTGGGGCTTGGAGCACCTGGACCGTCTTCGGATTTGCAGCGCATGCTGTCAGGTTCTCGGGGGCCTGCTCCATGCAGTTGGTGCTTCACATGATAGTGGGGAACATCCCGTTGGCACCCAGATCCGTGGAATGCTGTTGCAACTGTTCACCCTCATGTTGGCTTCACAGCGCTGGGTGATGCTGCAGTTCCTCATGCAAAAATCTAAACTTCAGCTTTGCAAAATTGAGCTAGCTGCTTTCATAATGCCAGTGACCTCTTTGGTGTGTTTCGTTTTGGCTGCCATCTTTGAGCGCGATGCTTTCGACTGGTCTCTGATGCAAGAAGCTGGTTTGCCTTGGACGGTTGCCTCTGTTGCCGGGGGCTTACGCTGGACTGACAAAAGTTTAGACTTCTGTCTTCAGTTTTACTTGTAAACTTAGATACATTCCATGGAAAAGAAGGCATCCTGACGCTCTTGTGGAGGCATGCGGCATTGGCATCCTGACGGTCGCCGAGCTCCGGTTGGTTCACATTTCCTCTGCCGTTGCTTTGCAGGTTCTGGGGACCTTGCATCAAATACCTCTGGTGATTACTGGAGTCGTTTGGTTCCATGATCCAGCTCCTCAGCTCGATCTCCAGCGCTCGTGTGTGCTTGCAAGGTAACACAAGGCATCGAGTTTCGATGAGGTTCAGGCATCCTCCGGTTCAGTTGTGGTCCTCATGGTTTTTCTTCTTGCGCAACCAGATTCGAAGGTTGTCGGGCAGGAATAACTGTCGCAGAGAGTTCCGAAAGCAACAGATCAGAGCGGAGAGTCACCTCGGATCAACATAGACGCTGATGCCCCGAGCATCTCCGAGCTTCCCTTCCTCACCATTCTGCGAGACAGAAGCCACCGGTAACTGCAATCAACATGGACCAGGTCGTACACATACAGATACACACATGCATGCATGCAGCAATCAATAGCACCCACATTCATTCGTTGTGCACGTGTGACAGCAGGTTGATTTGGAGAGTGCGTTGGGCTTCTTGTGCTGCATTTGCGGCGCCCTTTGCTATGCTCGAGCTAAGCATCTACCACTGGACAGAACGGATCTTAACGGCGACTTCGGCTGATTTGAGCATGGTATGTTCACTCTTGAGTTGCATCGGAATCACGAAAGCAGTGCGATCAGATAAGGCAAGGACTCTCAAGCTCCGGACCGAAGTCTGCAGCTGGATGAATAGTTCGTTCATCAGCTCCGACGGCTAGGCAACGTGGCGATTGTGCGTTGGCTGGGTACCCGTTTCACTGCCTGAATCGCACGAGGAGCGCAGCTCCAAAAATGAGCAGCACAGCGGTTACAAGCAGCAAGTGCTGTCGTTAAAGCAGCCGTCAGGTTTGCATAACTTCCCATCCCAAGCAGATTCCTGTGACTGCGAAGAGTGTCACCTCAGTTCCGAGTGAGACCAACAGCTGCTTTGGATTGGAGAAACGGCCATGACCTACACACCTGCCCATCTATATCCTTGGCCAAGCTGTGCCAGGCTAAGCTTTGGAACAAGCGAGCATCCAGGATCGTCTCGTCCTAGCCTCTTGCCACGTGTTTGCATAGGACGACACACAAACACTGCGGATTGGCGGCTACATCATGTTACATCCACAATATCCACACCAATGACATGGCCACAGTGTCCTCGACTACGTGACTGAGCTCATGTTGCGTGCATTTGACAGGCACCTTGGTATGTACTTCGTGGACCGAGTTTGACATATATATATATGTGTGTGTGTGTATACAGAGATGTATATGTATGTATGTATGTATATATGTATGTACTAAATAATTATGGCAATGCAAGTACGTAAAGTACTTTAATGTGTAATGTATGTATGTATGCATGTATTTCTACATGTATTTATAGATGTCTATATCTATATATCTATATATAAACATGTATGTTATTTTGTTTACTCATTTATATATGCGTAGTCGAAGCTGTTTGGGCCGATTTCAGCGTGCTGTACACGATGGCTTTGCAACCGTCTCTGGTGAGTCTGTGGCGAAATTACGGTCACCTCTTGTGTCTTCCATGGCTTTCGCAACCTGAGCACGAGGATATCCAGGCAGACGGTCTGAAGCCGAAGTCACATGTAGAATACAGTTCCATTACAAGGTTTAGCAACCCGTCTCTCCATGTCGTTCGCGGTACTAAACGGAGCAAGCGCGATTGAAATAAAGGCAAAAGACAGAAAAGCCAAAACTGTTAATATCAAGCAAGCGAACGGCTTCTGTTGATCCTTTTAACTATACTCCTCACTTGTCTGTGTTACAGTGTTATTTGATTTGCGTGTAAATTGAACTTGAGGGTGGAGAGCACTGTAAAACTGTAAAAGACACGGGGGGCTACATTGCTGTGTAAGTTGGGTTTGGGTATCTGTTGGTAATCCTGTTCAAACGAGCTGGTGACTTTGGCTCGTATGAACGCAGTCCCCTCGATGTGTACTGAAAAGTTGAATGGGAAGTCAGAACTTGTAGAGGAGTAATTAAAGGCATGGATTGACAGATCGACGAAGCCTGAGAGTGGATGGTGCACTCTGTCATTTAGTTAGTTTTGTTGTTTGTTAGCGCGGGGTTGGCTCGCTCTCTCTCTCTCTCTCTGTCGCGCAGAGCGTGTCCACAGGTGAGACCGCTCGTCAGAAGCCCTTTCAATGGGATTAACAAGCGGGGAAAACATAGAGTCGGCGGAAGCATACAGCATACGGAATAAGCTAGGGAAACTACATACGACATACGCCATGGAGATATCTGTACAGGGCTCTTCGCAACCCTTTTCGGGTGAGACTTTGGCGGGACTAGGGTAAATTTTCCGGCCACCGTGGGGAAAAGCGTAGTCGGAAAGGACGCTTCTACAGTCACTGATGAAGCTCGCTCGACGCACAAGGGGAATTCGTGACCACTCGCCGGTAAAAGACGGATCACCTGATAAATCAGTTGACGTCGGCGTAGAGCATGGGAAGGCCGTGGTCCCCGGTTCGCCTCATGTCGGCTCCCGTAGACAACATTGTGGAATAATTCAAACGGCGCGCTTGCTAAGTTGGGGTCAATGTCATACCGTGGGGAAATGTTGTGCAAACTTTGACAAATCGTATGTATGGGAATCCAGAGATGTGCCCCGTCGTAAGGTGTAGACATGCACCTGCAGACCTGACAGTCTGATGGGGTGTTCCAGAGGTTTCCGGTTGCATCATTGGGAGCCACCGGTCTCCCATGGTTGGCAAAACACGTAGGCAAAAGCGGCAGGTCAAGTGGAACAAACGTAGGGAGACAGCGCCACTCCCATATCGGTCTGGAAATAGAGCGCGGGATGACATTCAGACCCACATAAAACCTCCAGAATAATTTGTTGAAAGGCATCATACCAGTCGAAGTTGCTGGTCAAACAGGAGACGACTAAGTGACTAAGGTAAGGAGAGCCCATCCTCCACTTATAATCTGATCATCATAGCGGTGGAATTGAGTACCGACCTGAAGTTCACGGTCAGGCGCATGTGCTTGTATTGGCAATCGGCAAGACGTAGTGGCAATCACTGCGGGACATAATGGCAATCTTGTGGTTCCAGTGAAGCTGGTACCATGGCGGCACGAACAAGGAAAGTGACGATCCACGCTGTCTTGTGCCAGAACCTGGGGGTTGGTCCTGACTAGTTAAACCTTGAGACCCCTGGGTGACGAAAATAATTGTTACTACTACTACTACTACTACTACTACTACTACTACTACTACTACTACTACTACTACTACTACTACTACTACGACTGCTACTACTACCTGCTTTCTGCCCACGAGGTTGGGCCGCATCGCTCAGACGAGCCGCGAGCAGTTATTCAGACGGCACATCTCGCCTGCTGCCGTTTGGGTTGAGCACGCTGTACGTGCACTATGCTCTAGACCTCTAGACCGATAGCAGGGACACAACATGGAGTCGTTCTCCTGCGCGAAGAGTTTGTCGCTGTGAAAGGAGATGAGACCACCTCTGCGATGTTTCAACAGTGATTTCTTGACGCAGCTGCGGGAAGGCGTTGCGAGCCTGCGCAGATTAGTCCTGTTCTGGTTGAGAGCACTCCTCGCGACCTGTGGTGGAACAGGAATTCTGATGTTAGCTATTGG